CGGCGGTGTGTCGGTATGGTGTAGCTGGGCCTGCGGGCAGGCGGCGGGCCGCGGGCGGGGGCGAGGCGGCCGCAAGGGCCGACGCCGCCTGACTGGCTCGGGTGTAGCGGCAGCACGCTGAGGGGGCGTCGCCGCCGCCGGCCCCCGGCGCCGCCGCGGGAGGCCGCGCCCGCCATGGCGGCCCGGGCGGTGCTGGACGAATTCACGGCGCCCGCGGAGAAGGCGGCGCTGCTGGAGCGGAGCCGCGGCCGCATCGAGGGCCTGTTCGGCGTGAGCCTGGCGGTGCTTGGCGCGCTCGGGGCCGAGGAACCGCTGCCCGCGCGCATCTGGCTGCAGCTCCGCGGGGCGCAGGAGGCGGTGCACAGCGCCAAGGTGAGTCCCGCTGCCGCCCCCGCCCTCCTTCCGCGGCCCAGCCCCTGTGGCCTCGCCTCGGCCGGGCTCCCTGGGCGCCCCCACCCCTTTTCTCCCTGCTCCGTGTGGGTACTCAGCGAAGCGCCGTGGTTAAGAGCGCAGTCTCCAGAGTCCATGGACCCGCGTTCTCAGCTCTCGATCCATGTGACCTTGGGCTAGCGGTTCAATCCCGGAGCGCCTCAGTTTCCCCATTTGTAAAGTGGCGAGGGCGAAAGTACCTCTCTCGGAGGGCTGTCGCGAGGTTTGGAGTAGGTGTTATTGCAAAGCGCAGACCGCAGTGGCTGGCCCAGAGTGAGCGCGCTGCGAATGTTGCCTGTTGTTATCCGCCCCCTGGCCCTCGGGATGGTGCGCGCAGGGCCTGGTAGCTAGGCCCGCAGCCTCCTTGTCCACCACTTCAGCCACGTCTCTCTTCCCAGGCCTCCAGTACAGGGGTTCTGAACTTTTTGGGATTTCAGCCCCTTTTGAGAATCTGACAAAACTATGATAGTAGTAAAATACGCTGAATATCAAGAAGAGATAGGGATATTTAACAATAGTGTTAAACAGTATTGTTTCTTGTATTGAGGAACACATTTAATGGTTATAGGTCGTAGGACGAGCATAAGCTGAACACTTCATAAGGATTACCTAATGCAGCCCTTAAAAAATCCAGTGAGGTAGATTTTATTATCTTCCTCTCTCTAAATTAACAGCTGGAGAAACTGAAACTCTGCAAGTGGTGACTCACCTTCTCTCAAAATCAGCACTTCAGACTTATACCTACGCAACACCTTCAACTACTCCCGTTCCTCCCCTCGAGCCAGGAAACTAGCAAAGCGCAGCCCCCCTTCTCACGTATCCAAGTTTCTCCAGGTCTTTCTGTCCAGTAGGTGCGGGAGCCAGGATTCAGACTTAGGGCCCTTGTTCTTGCTACCTGTCTCCCAAATGATGAGCCTTCTGGCTGGGAACAAAATGATCCTCTTTCTGGCATCCTACTTCAGGAATTTCACAGTGCTCTCAGAATTGGATCTGCTGTGACTCCTGACTCCCTCTTAGATTAAAAAAAAAAAAAAAGCGCCTAAATTCTTTTTGTTTTAATATCTTTGGAGGAGAGGGGACACTTAACTGTGTGATCTTTCTCCATAGCATAACTTACTACATTCTAGATGTTGAATCAAGTTTGCTTTCCTGTGCTTAATTTTTTTCCTAACTTGTAATTTTTAACTTCTCAGTCCCCTCTTGTTTTTCTCCCAGCTGCCAAATTTCTTCACACTCCCCAGGGCTAAAAGGTGTGACATAACTAAGTCTTATTAATGCTTCTGTGAAATCTCTTACATGCACTCATTCCTCTTCATTGCCTTTGCTGCTATTAAGACCTTCATTCTAGGTATGTGCGCCTCCCTTACTTCATTGCCCTCACTCCAGTCCCTCCTCCCCCACCTCCCTCCTTGCATTAGACTGAACTGTCCAGGGAAAATTCTTTTCCTGCCCTGGGACCTGCTAGGGCCTCCTTTTGCCTATTTCATTCACTCCAAACTCCTGGAGATTTACAAAACATTTACTAATCCAGTCCCACCTTATTTTCCCAATTCTCTGCCATAGCAACCCTCAAGCTTAAACCACTACTGTTGTCTGACTAGTCTCACTGCTTTTACTGTGTGCTTCACCTGCTCCCAGTTCAGCTTTACTCAAGACTCACCCCAAGTGTAGACAGTACTTATTTTGCTGTACAGAAAAACCTGGCATGTTCTGCTAGACCCTCCCAACTCCAGTTCTGTTGCCTGTCCTGCGACACAGTTTAGGATAAGCTATTTGGAAAAGGTGTGTCTTACAGTATCTCGGTAGTGGGTGTCACCCACCCATTTTATGTTTGCTAGGTGTGTTACTCATAATCCAATCCTCCCACTTGTAAGAAATTCTTTTTCTTTTCCCTTGAGACTCATGGGTAAGAGTTGAATGCCACAGTTACATTCTTTTGAGTAAGAGGAAACCATTAACTTAAGAATAGGAAAGCAGACTTCAACATCAACAATATTTTAAGTTGTGGAGGAGAAGGTTTGGGGGAAGGAAGATTTTTTTTTTTTTTTTTTTTTTTTTTTTTTTTTTTTTTTTTTTTTTAAAGAGAGAGAGTGCAAGCAGGGGAGAGGGGCAGAGGGAGAAAGAATCTTAAGCAGGCTCCACACTAAGCGCAGAGCCTGACAAGGGACTTGATCCCACAACTCTGAGATCATGACCTGAGCAGAAATCAAAAGTCTAGGAGGCTCTACTGGCTGAGTCATCCAGGCGCCCCAGGAAGATTAAGAGTAAATAAGAATTTTTTTTTTAACTAGCTGGTAGAGCTTCTGATTAAGATGAGGACAACTATTCTGGGTCTCTTCAGGCAGGTTACTTTGTTTTCCTGCTTTTAAAATGTTAAATCATGGGGCTCATGGGTGGCTCAGTTGGTTAAGCAACCGACTCTCAGTTTCTGCACAGGTCACAATTTCATGGTCGTGAGATTGAGCCCCACATTGGGTTCCATGCTGGGTCTGGAGCCTGTTTGGGATTCTCTCTCCCCTCTTCTCTCTGCCTCTTCCTGCATGTGCACTCTCTCTCTCAAAAATAAATATTTTAAAATGTTAAATCACTACATTTAGCTCATGTGAGAGTAGGGGAGAAAATGAGGTTTAGTTAGTTAGGGTTCTATTGGCTAGAGAGAAAGGGCGCTACAGGTAGAAACTGACAACATCCTGGGAGGTTAAAAAAAAAAAAAAAAAAGGCACATCCTCTGTAAAAGTGGCCACTTTTGTGAGAGGAGAAATTTGTTGGCAGAAGCAGCACCTGAGCTGGGCTTTGAAGCGTCATCAAGATTCCCAGATGGAGGTAATTGTGAGCAAAGGCTAGAAGCACCAAAACATGTGGAGTGTCTTGGTAGGAAGTGTCAGAGCCTCAGGGGACCCAAATGCCAGGTTAAGGCATTGGGCCTTAGAGTCAGTGAGGATTTTTGAGAAAAGGACTTGTCTGAAACTCTACTTGGAGGCAGGAAGACCCACCTGTGGAAGAGACTTTGTTTCAAGCTGGACATGGATGGGTGACAAAAGTTTTCCCTGGGATTTGGCAACTGAGTGTATGTAGGGATTAAGAGAGAGGTTTTAAGCCTTGATGTTAGGAAGGATGGTGGATAAAGTTTGACCTGTTGGTGAGGCCAGGTAGCCAACATTTGAAGAAAACTTATGTGCCAAGAAGTACAGTAACAGTTGCCTCTAGACCTCAAGTAATTCACAGCCTAGTAGGGGACACAAACATGGAAACAAATAGTATAGTATGATACATGTTAACTATTGAAGTATGTGCCAGGTGTTAACAGTAATACAGGAGAGAAAGGGTTGCTCTGCTAAATTGTGTGTAAAGGATGAACAAGAGTTTTCCAGAGGGAAGAGCATGTATAAAATCACAGGGATATGAAATAGTGCCAGTTTATCACTGATTTCCCAAGTGTAGGAGGCAATTGGAGGGAGATGGGCAGAGGTGGAAAGGGGCCAAGTCACAAGGCACTTGGGGAACTGTTGAAGAACATGGATTTTACCAAGCAGGCGGGTAGTAGAGACTCCTGGAAGGGTTGTGAGAACATGAGTGATGCCATCAGATTTACATTTCTAAGAAATGTCTTCACTGAGAGTGTTTATACCCCCAGGTTTGTTCTCCTCAGTATGGTCCGTTGCTGGTTTGTGATGATACAAGGACAGATTGGGGGTGGTTAGCAACTTTTGTAGCAATGTGATATTACCAGTAGGGCCAGATTGTCTGAAAGAGACAAAAACCGGTAGAGGTCATTGTACGTAGGGGCCCAACAGGACGGGGTTGAGGTAAGTGGTGGCAGAAGTTAGGAATCAAAGAAGGCTGAGGACTGAATTTCAGAGAGATAGTGGAAGTACTGACTAGATGCTGCCTCATTCATAGATCAAGGATGCAATGCCTGGTGAGATCCTTGGAGTCAGGCAATGGAGGCCAAAGAGATCTCAGCCCTGAAAGTGAGAAATTAGAACATTCCTTTAGCTCTAGGAGCTACAAATTCCATGCTCCCTGAGTCCAGGCAGCGAGACTGTGCATGGAAGTGGCTGGTTGGTAGGGAGGAACTGGTGAATAAGGTGCTTGTGCCCTGTGGGAGAGGGTAACTGCCAGTGCTTAGTATTAGCCACTTACATAGTATGGGCCCAGTGATGTCTGAGCTCATTATCCAAGAAAAACCAGGGGTCTGGGTTTTATAATGTGAAATCTGTTTTGGTTTTTTATGAGGCAACTAATTTATGTTTTAAAAACCATGCATGCTGTGAATTATATCTCAATAAAAATCTTGCATTAATATATTCTTTTAAAAGTATATATTCTAAAAGGCAACCATGTGTGCTAAACAAAACATGTCAGTGGACCAAATTCAGCTTTTTAGGACCTCTCGTTTAGATACAAGAGACAGGATGAGTGAAGATACGCTTTCTCCACTCCCCCCCCCCCCCCCCCCCCCCCCAATTTGGGGAAGAGGGTAGTTGAACACCTTAATGGCCTTTAATAATTGTCTCAGTAAAGTAGAATACCAATTCCTGCCTCGAGAGGGAGGGTGAGAGCTTGAAGACAGTGGTGTATGTTAGGGTGGATGCAGCAGAATTTTTGGAAGTGCATTGGAGAAGAACAAAAAAGGATTGGAACTGAAGTAAGAGTCAGGGAAAGTTAGATGGCCTGAATTTATAGTATCACTTGGTGCAGGAATTCTTCAGCAGGTGATGATTTCCCCACTCTGGGTGTTGGTGAAGCCAACACACCAAGCACTAAAGTAATCTAAGGTGTAATTGAACAAAGCAGGATAGGACCCCCGAAATGTTTCTGAATGGTCAGCATTAGCTACGACAATCCAGACATAATACAAGACTTACCTTCTACTTTTAGTGAACTGCCAGCCAGAGAGGTTCTGGCAGGTGAAGGTAGAAGGGGCATAATGAACTGTGTGA